CAATCCACTGAGCCCCTTCGGCAGTGCATGCCTGAGAGCCCAGCAGCTGTCACAGAATTTTCTCAGGGGACACCTTTACAGGGCAGCTTTCAAGAATGGTGGCTGGAGCCCTGGGCCCCAAACCATGGGTATAAATTGATCTGGCCAGATTTGGGGGTCCAACCACACCCTTCCTTACCAATCAAACAGATGCAGACTTGGGAAGACAATGTGGGACTTCCAGCAGCTCAGAGGCACGTTTGTACCCGTAACCAAGTCGCCCCAGTCCTTCAGGCCTCACGCAGTCTCGGGGATTGGCACCCAGAACCTCAAAATATCAGAGCTCAGGAGGCACTGTGGGCAATCCAGTGTCAGCCAAAACCTAAGGAGGAGTCTGTTTAACCCAAGAAAAGAAACAGCTCAGCTCAACCTGGCCATCCTTTCTTACCTTTTCAAACCATTCACCTTTCAGAGGCCTCCAGGGTTCAGAAAACAAGGGCTGAGTCTTCTCAGCCAGCTTTTCTAACTGCCCCCTGTAGACATTAACCTTTCCCAAGACTATTAGATTTCCCTTCACTGATTAGACTGTGCTAATTCTAGAAGAATGGACTCACACCTAGCTTTCTGGGTAATTTCTCCTTTGGCAGCATGGGGTCAGGATGTGCAATGCCTCACACTTACTCTACCTTCTCATGTATTTCTCCCACACCCACTGCGTGGGGTGGAGAGCTGCTGTTGAGCCCCCTTTTGGAATTGTTGAGTTGCCTTAACCTGGTTTTCTTACCCAAGATAATCTCGAGAACATCCATAGAAAATTGTCCTCCTCTTGATTCTTTGGGAAATGGTAATATAATCGCAGCCCAGACAGGCATCAGGAGGCTCGTGCGTCTGTGGAATGTCACTTCATGCTACCATCAGGGACCTGTAGCCTTTCCTTTCCAAAGTCAACTTACTTTGTCAGGAAAGGGAGACTCGCTTGCACTCCTTTACAGGGCTGTGAAAGCCACCAGAAGAGCCAGGGAGGAGAGGGGGCTGGTGGGCGGAGCTGGAAATAAGCCTGAGATCCAAGGGGGGGCACAGAGGCTAAAGTCGTTCTGAGACCTTGGGAAGCCTCTTCCATCTCAAGACATGACTTTGAATATCTGCTCTGCAGACCCCGAGGACACATAGTCTGAGACAGTGAACTCTACTGACAGGAAGAAAAAAGCAAGTGGGGAGAGGGTCTCACTTCCCAAGAGACAAGCATGGTTCAGGAAATGCACAAATAATCCAAGCTTCTTGCTTGAACCAATGATTTCAAGTGCTTCTCCTATTTGGGTTGTACAAACTTTGCAGAAGAGAGAAAGATGAAGACCACGTAAAGAGAGAGCACTTAGAAAATTAGGTCTTGGTAATTAACTGGGGAAGACTTAGGGAATTGGTTCTTTGACCGATGAGACCATGTGTGAACTCCTCAGAGAGTGAAGGGTGTGGAACTGTGAGCCTGCAGAACACCTGCCGTCTTTGAACACATGCCAGCACTGAACCACAGGACACTCCACTGACTCAGTGATGGCCCCAAAGTCCCCATCTACAGCCTGATGGGAAGAGATCATCCTCTGGACGTACTATGAAGAGTCATTAGGTTTCCATAAACTATTTGCATTTGTAGTCTATTGAATTAGCCTTTTGCAGGCACCGCTAGAATCTGTTCTTTTTCAATTGCTTGCTATCCCTTCTCCCAGGCTCGTGTCAAGCTAACTCTTTGGAGTCTTTAAGATATCAAGAAACAAATAAATGTGAAAGTTGATGCTTTTTATCTAATGACAATGTGACAATCATTACTAATTCTAGCACTGCTTTTTTCCCCCCCTTAGGACTGAAAAGAGGCTGATCACCTTGATTTAGTAGAATACTTTACGGAGCTTTTATAATGAGTAGCATTCCTTGTAAAGGTAGCATTTCCTAAGGAAAGTTGTTTGTGTGTTTTGACTCTTGAGCACCTGCAATAGTCAGACAGGGAAACCTGAGACTTTGTGGATGGATGAAAGGCATTGGTGGAGATGGCCTCAACCCAGGCTTGGGACTAAGAGCTGTACATGTTTATACACACACACACACACACTTACAACTTGTGATGACACAGTGACATGCTGACATAAACACCAGCTTCTTTACAGAAAAGGTAAGAGTCTGAGCCCTGGGCAGAGAAGAGTTTCTGTGAGGCTCACTCTCCAAGCTCTTCACATCCCAGTGTATCCCTGCTGCTTTTGTCCCAGCCCAAATGCCCTGGAATGGCATGTTTTTGCATCAGGTCCCCAAGAATGCAAAATGCATACTGACTCAAAATGCATTTGAGTCCACTTAGCGCTCACTTCGGGGAGGCTTTGCATCTCCCACGCATTCCTCAGAGCTCTGTGGGGACTGAGGTTCGGCCCCACACACAGTCTCAGTGTTGTTTCTCCTCTCTGTGGTCATGAGAGTCTCTGCTGCTATTTAGTTTTTGTTTTTGTGAGGTTTGGGGTTTTGTTTTGAAAGCCACCTCCTGAGTGTGTCAGGTGAGAAAGGTCCCTGACATCGGGCAGATCACAGTCACTGAAGCAGTCCTATTAAACAACCTCACACCACCATCTCCCTGTAGGATTAAAATATGGTTTCGAAAACCGCAAATGCAGTGGCTTAAACAAGGTAGAAGTTTATTTGTCTCCCACACATAAGTTTGGAATTTATTAGGTGGACCAGAGCTTGCTGGAGGCCTCAGTGGGGCAGGGCCCACTCTCTCTACCTCATTGCTCAGCCACGCATAGTCCCATCCCTAAGGCCACCCTGTGGTCTCAGGTGGCTGTTGCCGGAGCCTGCCGGCAGTCGAACAGTAACCTGATTGAGGGGGTGAGGATTGGAAAAGAAAGACAAGAGACAGGATGGGATCGGGAGGGCTGCAGTACGTGACTGAGCCCCGAGTTTATTTTTCAGCTTGTAATTATAGCGCATTCAGTAAGGCAGCGGTTTAATCAGTAACCTTTGTCCCAGGTATGTTCCCCACCTAACTCTTTGTCTAGTTAACTAGGACGTTCTGCCCTTTTGACCTCTGCTAAGCCTCCTATACAAAGGTATTTCCTCATGTATGCACAGTAAATCTTAAGCTTAGCCAAGTCCTTAAGGAGGGGGAGCGGGGGGAGCAGGGCGAGTGCTAGCACCGCTGCCCACCACTCGGGTCAATGCCTCAGAGATTCCTCTCTTGGTGACACTAGGGCATACGGGCCACCCCGGGTGTTCACCCTGGGGCAGCACCTCGCCCGGCGGGCCCTCCCCGGGGGGAGTCCCGCCGGCTCCCCACATATCCCCCTTTTTTATCTTTTAAATATAAGGTCTAGGCTCAAGCGGGGCAGGACGGGTGCGTAGTTGCAAGGCGTGGAGTCCTACTCTAAGAATTTGTACATCTTTCAGCAATGCTCTAAGAATGCATGGGGTAAGCAGAAAACCTAACAGGACGATGGCAGCCAGACCAGCCATTCCTAATATACCATGTCTCCAGTCACTGGCTGAGGGAAATTCTTTCCTCAACCCTTCCACCCAAGACTGAGCCAACTCGGCTGTGGAGGTATCTATTTTCGGGGCTTCTCTCAGAGCGAGAATCTCCTGATGTAGCTGCATTAAGTCTAAGGAGACATTTCCATCATGCCATATCCCCTCCAGGTGTCTCTGCACTCGATCCCAGGGGTGGGTGGACTCATTGTACTTCTTGCGGGTAACACATATGTGCTTATAATCTGCATGGCAGTCAAGATCTAACCGCAGCTTCAAACTCTGTACCTCTCTTCCCAAGATCGACACAGTGTCGTATAAGGCATTCAACCTTTCTTCTACTTTTAAGTCAATGGCCTCTTGTGTTCCCAGCGCTTGGGTGATATTAGCGCTGAGCTGATTGACATGGTGAGCAGTTTGAATACTTTGGGAGAGGGATACGGCCGCAGTAACGCTGGCTGCTATCACTGAAATAAGGGTAGCTATGCCAGCGATAAGCAGCCCAATAAATCTCTTTCCTCTTAGCATAATCTCAGTGACCTGCCGGATTACTTGCAAGCCTCGGTCATTGTACCATTCCCCTGAGACTTTGACAGGGATCATTACAAATGAGGGCTGATACAGGATTAGGAGTTGCTCATCCTGAGATATGTTATATACACAAGTGCTAAGGGTACAGTTATGGCATGCAATAGTCCACCAGGATCCACTCCGTGAAATATTAAGTGACCCCACAAGAAGAGCATAAGGCTCGGGAACGCAGGCCTGCACCTTTCGGTAGAATTGTGTGGTGCCCTTCTGTACAGCTGCATTGCCCCGTTCCTCATTCACCATGATGTCCCCTCCCATTGCTGCCGTAAGTCTCCATAGCTGAGATTGCATTGGCCCTTTCTGTACGGACCAAAAGGACTCGGCCAGCGCCTTCCATTTTGGGCCCTTAGCTGACCAGTCCTGTAGCGGGTATCCCCTTGTCACATTAATCAATATACTATTTTTCCCCCGGCAGCTCAACCAATGCGGCTGCTGGGTGCGGTTGACAACGTCAGCCTCACATATGGAGATCTCCCCAGGGGGGGCTCCAGAAGGATGGCCTGCGGCATTCCCAGTAGGGTACCAGATGTCCACGTACCACCGCGTCCAGTCCAGAGCTGATTGAACCCAGGTCCTCGCCGTCCCGTTGACATAAAAAACCCCTGTCGTAGTAGGCAGGAGCGACTCGATTTTAGTAGTTTTAAGCAAAAAACAACCGGCTACCTGGTCAGTTCGTGAGAAACAAATAGGCTGGTCACTAGCGTGTCCTGAATAAGAAAAGTCCGGAGCGCGCGCTGCTCGCAGGTGCCTGCTGGAATGGCCCCCCATGGTCCATGTGTCATTGGTGTACACAGGTACCTCTCCATGCTGCCACGTCACTGGCTGCAGCAGAGGTGGGTTAGGCAGGTAGGCCCAGTGAGTTTCTGCTCTAGCCCCAGGGGCCGCGGCAAGCAGAGCCAGCATTGCCAGGAATAGAGTTTCGGGCGTGACAGTCATGCCTTGCCCTCTGATGAGTTGCTCTGCGCGTTGTTGTGCCCGCCAGGCTCTTCGCCGGGCTCTTCGCGACTGACGCTCAGGGTTCATTGTTAGCTCCTGCATCCGTTCCTCTAGCGTCTTGGGCCGCGTGTCGTACCAGCCTCTCCGGGAGCCACCTCGGCGTCTCGGCATCCTGCGGGAAAACACAAACATGCCCTCTTCCCCAGATTAGTACCGGATCTGGCCCGTGCCACGTACCCTCAAGGGGGTCCTTCCACCTGACCATGGCTTTATCTTGGGGAACAGCCTGCTGCCAAAACCTTTGCGCAGCAGAACGACCTTTCTCGTCCAAAATTAAGAAATTAAGAATAAATAAAGCATGGTTAAGTTGATTTTGCGGGATTAAGGGGTACAGCTCCCCCTTTTTAATTTTTTGCAATTGATTTTTTAGCGTGCCATGGGCTCGTTCAACAATACCCTGTCCTTGAGGGTTATAAGGAATGCCTGTCTTACTCTGAATGCCCAATTGCATACAAAAGGCTTGAAACTTTTTGCCTGTGTAGCCCGGTCCATTATCTGTTTTAATAACCCGGGGCTGTCCTAGGACAGACATGCTGCGCAAGCAATGGGCAATGACGTGGGAACTGGATTCCCCTGTGAGGGCAGAGGCAACAAGGAAACCTGAGTAGGTGTCAATAGTAACATGAACATACCGTTGCTTACCAAAACTAGGCACATGTGTTACATCCATCTGCCACAGATGATTGGGCAGGAGACCTCGAGGATTGACTCCATAGCTAGGCACGCTGGTTAAAGTAGGACATGTGTGACATTCCTTTACTATCTGTCTGGCGGCCTCTCGGGGAATGTTAAACTGCAGCCGAAGAGACTGGGCATTTTGATGGTGGAGAGCATGAGCCGCCCGAGCTGCAGGCACCCCAACTAAATACACTTTAGTGGCCAAATCAGCTTGGCAGTTTCCATGGGATAAGGGCCCAGGTAAGTTGCTATGGGCCCTAAGATGCCCAAAGTAGCATTGTTGGGTACGATTCAGGATGGCAGCTTGGATGGCTATAAACAGTTGTTGCACAGTGGAATTAGTAGTGCCAATGAACGGGACAGTCTCAATAACAGAGAGGCTTCTGACTACATACTGACTATCAGAGAAAATATTTAGAGGTTCATTGGCCACATCTAAAAGTACCCGGTGTACTGCTGCTAACTCTACCTCCTGGGCAGAGGAATATGGGGTCTCCCACCGTGTAACCTGGTGCCCACGCACATAGGCTGCAATGCCAGAGGACGACCCGTCAGTGAACACAGTAGCGGCCCCGGGCAGTGGAGTAGCAGATACCATCCTTGGAAAGATAACCGAATGTTTCAGAAAGAATTGCAGAAGCTTGTCTTGGGGATAATGATTATCAATTTTTCCAGGAAAGCCAGCCAAGGCTATTCCCCAGGGATCACAAGTTTGGAATAACCAGGTGACCTGTTCTCGTGTATATGGCACCAGAATGCCTGCAGGGTCCCTGCCAAAGTAGCGGCGGGACTCTTCCCGAGCCTGTTGAATAAGGACAGCAACAAGTTCATAATAAGGGGCAAGGACCCGGGCAGGGGAAGCAGGGAGGTGCACCCACCGTAGTGGCCGGTCTTGCCATAAAACAGCAGTAGGGGAATGGCCCGTGGCCAAAATGCAGGCCTGCCAAGGTCTACTATAGTCACAAAATGTTGCCTGCTGCCTGCGGATAGCTTGCTCCACCCTCCCAAGGGCTACACGTCCCTCCGGGGTCAGCTGTCTAGCGGATGCAGGATCTGCATCCCCCTTGAGAATGTCAAACAATGGTTTGAGCTCCCCTGTAGTTAACCCCAGATAAGGTCTAATCCAGTTGATATCCCCCAGCAACTTTTGAAAATCATTCAAGGTCTGGAGCTTGTCTAGCCGAAGGTGAACTTTCTGACAGAAAAATCGGTCAGGCTCCAGATGAAAACCAAGATAAGAAAACGGGGGCTGCCTCTGGACCTTTTCTGGGGCTACGACCAGGCCTTGTTTTTGCAAGTCAGATTCCATTTTCGCAAATGCCCGGAGGAGCAGTCCCTCATGGTGAGCGGCAATGAGGATGTCATCCATGTAGTGACAGACGTACACTGCTGGGTACTCACGCCTTACCCGAGCTAGGGCCGTTGCCACAAATTTTTGACACAGGGTCGGGCTATTGGCCATTCCCTGAGGCAGCACTTTCCAGTGATATCGCTGCATAGGCTCCTGAAAATTTACTGATGGTACGCTAAAGGCAAACCGTGGACAGTCCCGGGGATCAAGGGGAATAGTATAAAAACAGTCTTTCAGGTCAATAATAATCTTATATGTATCACGGGGTATGGCCGCAGGTGAAGGCAAGCCTGGCTGGAGGGCCCCCATGAGCTCCATGGTCTCATTCACCTTCCTAAGATCCTGGAGTAATCTCCATTTCCCTGACTTCTTCTTGATCACAAATATAGGTGAATTCCAGGGAGAATTAGACGGCTCAATGTGGCCCTGTTGGAGCTGCTCCTGCACCAGCTCCTGGGCAGCCTTTATTTTTTCAGTAGTCAGGGGCCATTGATCTACCCATACAGGAAGATCTGACTTCCAGGTAATTTTATCGGCATGGGTAGCAGGAGAGTCAAAGGCCCCTCCTAAAAATACCCCAGGCCAGCGCGCCCTGGCCGGGGCAGGGGTTGTAAGGGTTCAGTAATGCCCTGCCCTTCTCTTCCTAATCCTTGATCTGGTAGCAGCCCTTGGTTAAGTAGTTGTTGTGTAACCGCTGGACTCGAGCTGTGGAGATACACCCCCATGTGCTCCATGACATCCCTCCCCCACAGATTCACAGGTAAATCTGATAAGACATAGGGCTGAAACTCTCCTTGATGTCCCTCATCATCTCGCCAGCTTAAGACCGCCGAGCTAATTTTCGGAGTCCGACTTTGACCGATACCTTGCAGGTCGGTCATTGCTGGTTGAATAGGCCAACTAGCAGGCCAATGCTTGAGGGAAATAACTGAGACATCAGCCCCAGTATCTAGAATGCCTTTAAACACCTTCCCATTAATCCAAAGTGCCATCTCCGGCCGGTTTCTCCTAATGGGCTGCACCCAATAAGCATCAGAAGATCCGAAACCCTGGGACCCGCGAGCCTTATTCGTCCTGACTTTTCCCTGTTCTACCAGCGGCAACAAAATAAGCTGGGCAATTCTCTGACTTTTATCTACTGTCACCACATTGTGAGGAGCATGAGCCATAACCTTCACCTCTCCGGTATAATCCTGATCTATGACTCCAGGGGCCACTAACAATCCTTTCAGGGTACTACTACTGCGTCCTAAGAGAAGCCCCACGGTTCCGGCAGGCAGGGGGCCATAGACCCCAGTAGGCAAAGCCTGCATCCCCATTGCAGGGGTCAGTACTGTGTAGGCGGCGGAACTGAGGTCCAGTCCGGCGCTCCCTGGGGTGGCTCGGAAGAGGTCACAAATGGATTGCTTCCCGGGGTTTGCCCCTGGGGCTCCCCCTTCAGAGCCCCATATGTTTGCGGGGCCTGGGGCTGGCCCCTCTGCCAGTTTCCCGACTGCAGGGGGAGGCTAAGGGGCCGTCCCTGCAGATCAAGTTTCGACTTGCAGTCCCGGGCCCAGTGATTTCCCTTTTTGCATCTCGGACAAAGCCCCGGAGATGCTCCACGGGGCGGGCCCGCGGGAGCCCTCTGATTACTGGAGGGTTTCTGGGGGCAATTTCGAGTGAAATGCCCAAGCTGACCGCAGGAAAAGCAACTCCCGGGGGGCCCGGGGACTCGTCGCCCCCTGCCTCGCCCAGCCCCCTGCTGCTGTAGGAATTGTTGCATAGTCTGACCTCTCAAGGCGGCTGCAAGAGTGACTCCGGTGGTATAAGAGGGCCCTATATCCTGACAAAGTCTAATGTAATCATTCAGAGACCCCTTATGCCGATAAGGCCGTAGGGCTGCTTGACATGCAGTATTAGCA